AGGTCACCCAGGCTGGACTGCAGTGACGTAATCTCAGCTTACTGCAACATCCATCTCCCGGGTTCAAGTGATTCTGATGCCTCAGCCTCCTGGTAACTAGGTAACTGGGATTACAGATGTGTACCACCACACCCGGCTACTTTTGTATTTTTAGTGGAGTTGGGGGTTCTGCCATGTTGACCAGGCTGGTCTCAAACTCCTGACTTCAGATGATCCGCCCACCTCGGCTTCCCAAAGTGCTGGGATTACAGGCATGAGCTACCACGACTGGCCAGGAACAACTTTTTCTTAATCTAATTTTTTTGCAGGAGACGAATGTTAGCAAATCTCCAAGTCAGAACTAGAAATCCCAGTGCAGCAAGGCCTGTGATGCACACAAGGTGGCGATGGAGGACATAGCATCTTTCAGAGCTCCCTGCTGCTGATCTTTTCAAATGAGAGAGGCATTTAATGCTGCTTCATCTTCTGGCTTTTCATCAATGTGGAGGCCCGTCCTTTAGTTTTAGCAATTCAGTGGTGCTCCAAAGAGAATTTCCCCCTCCTTGTTTTCAAATATCTCTTTCATCTGATTTCTTTTCCCTGTTACTGCATAGATCCACCCATGAGCCGAAATAATCTTCTTTGAAATAAAAATATGAATGAACAGGGCCTACCAGAACACTTGGAAAAAAGATTTTGAGTAGGTGTGTGTATTTCCTCTTTTAGACTGTAATTAGTAAGATGGAAATAATCAATCTCCCCCATAGGTTCTGTGTGTGTGTGTGTGTGTGTGTGTGTGTGTGTATTTTTTCCTTGGTGTTTTGAAAGGCCTTAAAAATTAACATGGCTGCCTCATGTAAAACCACCTTTAAACTCTAATAAAGTTTATCAAGGACCACTTATCTTCACACCACACTCACATATTTTTGGACCCAGGAAGGATTACGAAGCCATTTTAGACAGTCAGCTGGTATAGAAAAGCCAGCAGAAGAGAGAGATATTGCAAAATCCCAGAAGGGCCCCAGCTTGAGCCAGGGCTAGCGAGTATCACGTCAGCAGCTGGGGCAGGAGGGAGATGATCTCCATCAACAAGCCTGCTGCTCCCTCTTGGGGAGATGCCTCCCAGGGGTAACTGAGGTCCAACTTAGTCATAGCTATTTTCCTCATATTTCTTCTCTGCTTCTAACTTAGGGTTGCCCAGCCAATGCTTTCTCTTGTGCCTTTTCCCTTCCTGATCCCCCATTCTTGAATAGAAGAGTAGAAAGGACGATTCCAAAGAAAAGAAGTCATAAGCCATAAATCTTTCCTTCCTATAAATGAATGTCTTGTGTGTGTACGTGTGTGTTGTCTAGACTAGATACGGATCTCTGCCTCGTAGCTTCCAACCTAAAGTTCTTTTGACCAGGCATTTTCTTTGTCTTGCTGATCCGTTCTAGAAATCCCTACTAAATGATCTTCTTTCCAGAGGGGGTTCTATAAATATTAATTCATCAGCTGCCTCATCGTGGTGCAGTGGCAGCCATGCAGTCCTATGACTAATTAATTACTGTTGCTAAAATATTAAATAACTATTCATTATGCAGTCTAAAGACTTTAAGCCCTAGATCTATGCTGTTCTCATCACTTAGGGTGAAGGACAAGAGTTCCTGGGCACCTTGACTCCTGATCTTAAAATATCATTAAGAGTAGAAGAAATAAGACTAAATATAGAAGAAATTTTATCTGAACTATTTAAGATGGTTTGAGTCCTGAATCTAAGCATTTAAAAATTGTGATGGGCTGGTCATAGTGGCTCATGCCTGTAATCCCAGAGCTTTAGGGAGGCCAAGATGTGAAGATCACTTGAAGCTAGAAGTTGGAGATCAGCCTGGGCAACATAGGGAGAGCCCATCTCTACAAAAATCTTTTAAAAATGAAAAAATACCAGCCTGGCCAACATGGTGAAACCCCATCTCTACTAAACATACAAAAATTAGCGGGGTGGGGTGGTGGATGCCTATAATTCCAGCTACTCGGGAGTCCGAAGCAGGAGAATCACTTGAACCCGGGAGGCAGAGGTTGCAGTGAGCCAAGACCTATCCATTGCACTCCAGCCTGGGTGACAGAGTGAAACTCCATCTCAAAATAAATAAATAAAATAAAATAGGCCAGGCGTGGTGGCTCACGCCTGTAATGCCAGCACTTTGGGAGGCCAAGGCCGGTGGATCACCTGAGGTCAGGACTTCAAGACCAGCCTGACCAACATGGTGAAACTCCGTCTCTATTAAAAATACGAAATTGGCTGGGCCTTTGGTGGTGCATGTCTGTAATCCCAGCTACTTGGGAGGCTGAGGCAGGAGAATTGCTTGAACCCAGGAGGCAGAGGTTGTGGTGAGCCGAGATCGCACCATTGCACTCCAGCCTGGGCAATAAGAGCGAAACTCTGTCTCTAAACAAACAAACAAACAAACAAACAAACAAAATTAGCTTGGCATGGTGATGTGTAGCTGTAGTCCTAGCTACTTAGAAGGCTGAGGTGGGAGGATTGCTTGAGCCCAGGAGGTTGAAGCTGCAATGAGCCATGGTTGTGTCACTGCACTCCAGCCTGGGTGACAGAGAGAGACCCTGTCTCTATTTTTTTATATTTTTTTGAGACAGAGTCTTGCTCTGTCACCCAGGCTGGAGTGCAGTAGTGCAATCTCAGCTCACTGCAACCTCCACCTCCTAGGTTCAAGTGATTCTCCTGCCTCAGCTTCCTGAGTAGCTGGGACTACAGGTGCACGCCACCATGCCTGGCTAATTTTTATATATTTTTTAGTAGAGAAAGGATTTTACTGTGTTGGCCAGGCTGGTCTTGAACTCCTGACTTCAGGTGATCTGCCCGCCTCAGCCTCCCAAAGTGCTGGGATTACAGGCGTGAGCCACCACACCCAGCCTTTTTTTTAATTGTGACAGACAGTTGTCAGTAGGTTTGGAAAAGGGAATGAAGGGCCAGGCACAGTGGCTCACAGAAGTTGGACATCACTTCTGCCTTCTGGGCCCAAGCGATCTTTCTGCCTCAGCCTCCTGAGTAGCTGGGACTATGGGTATGCACTAACATGCCTGGCTAATTTTTGTATTTTTTGTAGTGATGGGGTTTTGTCATGTTGCCCAAGGGGGTCTTGAGCTTCTGGGCTCAAGAGATCTGCCAGCCTTGGCCTCCCAAAGTGCTGGGATTACAGGTGTGAGCCATTGTGCCCTGCCATAATATTCCATCTTATGGATATACCATATTTTAGTTAACCAGCCCCATATTGTTGGATATCTAGATTGAAAATAGTTTTTCCTTTTGTAAACAATATTGAGCTACACAACCCTGTATATCCATCCTTGACTACGAGTCTGATTATTTCCTGCAGACAACTTCCTCAAAGTTGAATTGCTGGATCAAAGGGTATGCACCTTAATATTCTCCTGTTATTTTTATTATTATTTTTTTTGAGATGCAGTCTTACTCTGTTGCCCAGGCTGGAGTGCAGTGGCACGATCTCGGCCCACTGCAACCTCCACCTCCTGGGTTCCAGTGATTCTCCTGCCTCAGCCTCCTGAGTAGCTGGGACTACAGGCATGTGCAACCATTCCTGGCTAATTTGTGTATTTTTTTTAGTAGAGACAGGGTTTCATCACGTTGGCCAGGCTGGCCTCAAACTCCTGACCTCAGGTGATCTGCCCACCTTGGCCTCCCAAAGTGCTGGGATTACAGGCGTGAGCCACTGCGCCCTGACTGTTTTATTATTTTTTAAGTGATAAAAATATACAAGCAATAGAGAACAATCTCATCTCAGTAGTTCCAGACCAGCCCCACACTCCCATGGCAACCCACCTTAAACATCTGGTGTTTTTTTGTTTTTTTTTTTTAGAAGGAATCTTGCTCTGTCGCCCAGGCTGGAGTGCAGTGGCGTGATCTGGGCTCACTGCAAGCTCCACCTCCCGGGTTCACGCCGTTCTCCTGCCTCAGCCTCCCGAGTAGCTGGGACTACAGGCGCCCGCCACCAGGCCCGGCTAATTTTTTTTGTATTTTTAGTAGAGACGGGGTTTCACCGTGTTAGCCAGGATGGTCTTGATCGCCTGACCTCGTGATCCGCCCGCCTTGGCTTCCCAAAGTGCTGGGATTACAGGCGTGAGCCACTGCGCTCGGCCTACTAATTTTTATTTTTTGTAGAGATGGGATCTCCCTGTGTTGCCCAGACTGGCCTCAAACTCCTGGGCTCAAGCAATCCTCCTGCCTTGACCTCCCAAAGTGCTGGGATTACAGGTGTGAGCCACCGCACCCGGCCTAGTGAGCATATTTTTAAGGTGTATGTCAATTAGTGTGGAACACTGATGGAATGAACATAGCAGAAATTAGAACTGCCACTCACGGAGCACATATTAAGTGTCGGGCATTGGGCACCAAGCGTTGTTGACAGACGCTTTATTTTTTGTTTTGAGTGCTTACTGGGTACTAGACTTTTCAGTAAATATTAATCACCTACTATGCTATTCTACCAAGTGCTTATGAACAAGTGTGCAGCGCCTATTCTGCACCAGCCTTTCGCTTGCATCTCATTTAAACGTGAAAACAAGGAGTGATCTCTATGCTCTGCCCAGCGTGGGGGCGCGGGTCCGAGCAAGGGGTGCACACCTGAGTAGGGACAGGACCGGGGAGGCGGCGTCCTCTTCCCTGGCGCGCTGCAGAGCCAGGGCTACCCTGAATGGCCAGGAGGAGAAGGGGCCGGCAGAGGTCAGGCTGAGGGCAAGCGGCAGCAAAGGGCGAGGCGGAGGTCCAGGCCACCCGGGTGGCCGGATCCGCGGAGCGGTGGGCGGGGCGGCGGGCGGGGCCTGTATTGTCCGCTCCGCGGGGCATGCCGGGAGCCCCGCCCCCAACATGGCGTCTCACTGACAGTTGGCTGCCGAGCGGCAGAGGCGGATCCTGCTCCTGAGGGCGGCGGCGGCGGCGGCGGCGGCGGCTGCGGGGCCGGGGTCTCCCGGGCCGGGGTCGGGGGGATGGCGACTCGGACCGCCTAGGGCGGAGCTGCACGGGCGAGGCGGCAAGCGGGTCGCCGCTGGCGGACGCGGCGGACGCTGCCATGGACTGGTGATCGCGGCTGCTGCTGCTCCGTCTCCGCCGGCCGGGCGTCTGCTCCTCAGCTCCAAGCCCTCAGCCGGGGCCATGGGCTCGTCGGCGGCCGCGGCGGCGGCGGCGGCGGCGGCCGCTGACTCGGCGCAGTGGCTCTCGGTGAAGGAGGAGACCATCTTCCTGCACGACGGGCTGATCCGGGTCACCGACCTGGCCGAGTTGCCCAGCGAGATCCTCGGGGCCCCGGAGGCCGCCGACACCGACCTGGAGGTGAGCGAGGCGGCCCCCGGCCCCCGCCATCGGACTGGCCCACTCTCCCGGCGCTCCCGGGTCGGGCCCCTTCCTCGCCCCAGCCGCGGGCCTCGCCTCCCAGGGGCTGCCGGGGCAGGTGTGTGTGGGCGCGGGGCGGGCAGGTGGGGGCCGCGGCCGCAGGTCTGCAGACCGCCCGCCCTGCTCTCCCTCCCTCCCTCCTCGGGGCCTGGCGCCCGCCAGGGATTTCATTTGTGGTTTTCTTCTGAGCGTTCCGACACCCGGCATTTTATTAGACTAGCACCCGGCTCGGCCTTCATGCCCCGGAGGAGCCGCCGCCACCACCCGGGCCTCCCTCCCCTCCCCCACGGGTCCCCTGGACCCACTTCCAGGGCACACCCAGGTTGCTTAGCTTTGGGAACATTTTTATTTTAACGCTGTGCACCCTCCCACCCTTTTCTTCCCTAGTTCTGTGGTTTTTTTCTTTTTTCCGGGAGAGGGTAGTGGCAGCTGCGGGTCCGCGGTGGGCAATCCAGCAACTTCTCTGTGTTGTGTCTGGGATGGATTGACACGGGGCCTTTGTCAGGGAAGCGGGCGGTGTGGACAGCGAGAGGGATGCTCCAGCGGCCTTCCGTGCGCTCTTGGCGAAGGGTCACTGGCACGTTAGGCCGCAGGGCCTTTTTGTGTGTCCGGGGGTCGCCGAGCATCCCGGGTTCAGAGCCGTGGCAGGTGCAACAGCAGATCTCATCAGTTGAGCTGCTTGGCCTTGGGGGCAGAAGGGAACCAAATGTGCTTGGTTGGTGGAAACTTTCCATCGACTTCACTTGGGTTCGTATTTGCCTAAAGGTGGGAATACTGGCAGTGGCGTTTCATGGAGGCCAGCGGATGCTGACACTGCTCCCCCTCCACTTCGTGGGATGACATTTTGATGTGTAGGTAGCATGGGGTGTCATCAAATTCTTACTGCCGTATGGAGAGCTTTCTGGGATAGGCGCAGAGAGGATGGCCTATCTTCTGGCTATAAACGGAATGCGAGGAATCTTTTGTGTTTTGCGGTTTTGCGTGCAGTTTGGCTTTACGCACAACGAACATTTATAGAAATGAATTAAAAGCCATTACTGTGTGTTTCTGGAAACGGCAGTGATCGGATCGCATTGGCCGAGACATTTGGACGTGCTTGAGATGCGAATACGTTCCTCAGTATTTTTGTGTCTGGATTTGCGGTTGCTTCAGCACTTCCGTTGTGAACTCTTAATTGACTTATTTTACAATCTAGTCACCAAAAAGAGGAGGATATGGTTGGTAGGGAATTCCTAACATGGAATCATCGTTTTATTGTGTCTCATTTGGGCCTGTTCTATAAAAAGCAAGGTGTGTCTGAGTGTCTTATCTGCCTGAAAACTCAAGGGGTATTATGCTATGATAGTGGAATCTTTTGATTTAATTGGCTGTGTTGTGTGTGAAAGGTGGGAAGTGGATGCTCTTTGTTTCTTTCTTTTCTTTTTTTTTTTACCCCCAGACCGAGTCTTCCTCTGTCGCCCAGGCTGGAGTGCAGTGGCCCGATCTCAGCTCACTGCAACCTCCGCCTCCTGGATTCAAGCGATTCTCCTGCCTGTGCCTCCCGAGTAGATGGGATTACAGGCGCGTGCCACCACGCCCGGCTAATTTTTGTATTTTTAGTAGAGACAGGGTTTCACCATGTTGGCCAGGCTGGTCTCGAACTCCTGACCTCAAGTGATCTGCCCGCCTTGGCTTCCCAAAGTGCTGAGATTACAGGCGTGAGCCACTGTGCCGTGCCTATGCTCTTTGTTTCTTAAAGACTAATCCAAGTTCACAGAACCAAAATTTATATATATGTCATTTATGTAATTTATTTATTTTTAGGATTAGAAAGAGTAGGATTAAAGTATCTGTGCTGTTAAGTTGGTTTTCCTAAAATGTTTGTAAATGTATTGCATGAATTTGTCAGCTATTTCTACAGAAGAATGGTTTTAGAAGGAAAGAACCTCTCTGGCTGCTATATTTTGTTTTTTTTAATTGCTTTTTGAATTTATGGTCTGATTTCTCAGAAACTAGTATGTGTATGGGTGATACACTGGTAGCAGTGCATAACTTTTTTCATTCTTTCCATGTTATACAGGCTCCATGGTCTCAGGAGAAATAGCTAAGAATATTTTTGTGGCTATTAGATTTGTGTTTGGGTGTATTCATATATATATATAATCTTTTTGTTTGTTTGTTTGTGTTTTTTTGAGACAGAGTCTCTCTCTGTTGCCCAGGCTAGAGTGCAGTGGCTCGATCTAAATCCCAACTCACTGCAACCTCTGCCTCCCGGCTTGAAGCAATTTTCCTGCCTCAGCCTCCCAAGTAGCTGGGATTACAGGCATGCACCACCATGCTGGGCTAATTTTTGTATTTTTTAGTAGAGACAAGGTTTTGTCACGTTGGCCAGGCAGGTCTCGAACTCCTGACCTCAGGTGATCCGCCTGCCTTGGCCTCCCAAAGTGCTGGGATTACAGGCATGAGCCACCACGCCTGGTACATATTTAATTACTTAATAATGTTGATTAAATGTATCCTACATGTCAGGCATTATTTTATTAAATTCTCAAAAGAGCCTAACAGTTGGAAATATTGCACTCATTGTACAGATGAAGGAAGTGCAAGGAAGTGCAGAGTAGGTATTCAACTTGCTCAAGAGCACATAAAGAGCTTGCACATTAACCTAGTTCTGTTCACCGGATATCTGCTCCTCATCATAATACTTTATGCTTCCATGCATGTATAGTGTTTGTATTTGCAATTATTTTAAATTTCATAACTGGCTACAGAAGGAAGAATCTCTATTTTCTTTAGTAACTGTTTCTTTTTCATATTTGAGGAAGATTCATGGTTTATTAATTTTTTAAAAGCTATCTTTTGAAATACCACCACATCCATGAAATACAGTCTTCCAAGCCTCTCCTTCCAGTGGACATCTGGGTGAATAATGGCCATTTTCCACAGAGTTTATTAATATATATAGAATCCTTTAGTTAACACTTTTGGATTATGAGGGACGGGACTCACTGCAGAAGAGTGCAATAGTCTTAGAATTTTAGAGCAAGAAGAGACTTTAGAGATAATAATTTCCCTCATTTTAGAATGAAGTTCTCTAAGATCAGGAGATCTCAGAGATCAGGAGATGAGGTTATGGCTTAGTCACTATAGCATAGCTAGTTGTGGCAGGGCAATGACTAGACCCTGGCTTTTCTGCGTTTGGATTCTAGTGTTCTGTTCACCCTGTCAGCACTGCTCAAAGTCAAATCTAAAGAAAGAATCCCTCCTAAGAAGCAGATCAACATTAACTTAATATTTTAATTTAAGCAGATCCAGAGTATTTGAATTAAAATTTTTCTTCCCAGTAAATTCCCTCCCTCCCTCCCTCCCTCCTTTTTGAGACCGAGTTTCATTCTTGTTGCCCAGGTTGGAGTGCAGTGATGCGATCTTGGCTCACTGCAACCTCCACCTCCCAGGTTCAAGCGATTCTTCTGCCTCAGCCTTCCAGTTAGCTGGGATTACAGGCATGTGCCACCATGCCCAGCTAATTTTGTATTTTTAGTAGAGACTTAGTTTCACCATGTTGGCCAGGCTGGTCTCGAACTCCTGACCTCAAGTGATCTGCCTTCCTTAGCCTCCCAAAGTGCTGAGATTATAGGCGTGAGCCACTGCACCCGGCCTCTTTTTTTTTTTTTTTTTTTTAAAGCAATAAATAATGTTTAATCAACTAATTCATTCAACAAGTATTGGTGGAATTTAGAGTGAGCTGGGCCAACCGTCCTGGATGCTGGGAATATAGCAGTGGATAAAATAAAATCCTTGTCCTCAAAAAGCTTATAATTTATTGGAATGATACAGACAATGACAAATATGTAACATGACATAGAGGCAAATGATAAGTGCTAAAGAGAAAACTATAGCTCAATAAAAAGATGGAGAGCATTGGAAAGAGGGCTCTGTTTTTTTGTTTTAATTTTTTTGGTTAGAGATGGGGCCTTGCTATATTGTCCAGGCTGATCTTGAATTCCTCCTGGCCTCAAGTGATCCTCCGACCTGAGCCTCCCAGAGTGCTTAGTATGAGTCACTGCACCCAGCCAACTGTCCTGTTTTATTTTATTTTATTTTTAATTATTTATTTTTGAGACAGAGATTCTCACTCTGTTTCCCAGGCTGGAGTGCAGTGGTGCCATCTTTGCTCACTGCAACCTCCACCTCCCGGATTCAGGTGACTCTCCGGCCTCAGCCCCCTGAGGAGCTGGGATTACAGGCATGCAGCACCACGCTTTGCTAATTTTTGTATTTTTAGTTGAGACGGGGTTTTACCATGTTGGTCAGGCTGGTCTTGAACTCTGGACCTCAGGTGATCCGCCCACCTCTGCCTCCCAAAGAGTTGGGATTACAGGCGAGTCAGCCACCACACCCAGCCTGTCCTGTTTTATATAGGGTGGACATGAAAGGAAAGCCCAGGATGGCTTTTGAGCAGAGACCTGAAGGGAAGGAGGGAGTATACCATATGGCTCCCCCGAAAGAACATCCCATACAGAGACGACAGCAAGAGGCAAGTCCTTGAGAGGGAAGCGTCCTCAGCATATTTGGAGCTCTGAGCCCAGTAAGCTAAAGGGGAGAGGAGAGATAGGGAGCAGGGGATACAGATCAAGTAGATCCTTGTAGGTGAGGGCTTTGGATCTTACTATGAGTGAATTAATAATGCAGAGTGTAGCCGGGTGTGATACGCCTGTAATCCCAACACTTTGGGAGGCCGAGGCGGGCAGATCACAAGGTCAGGAGATTGAGACCATCCTAGCTAACACAGTGAAACCCCGTCTCTACTAAACATTAAAAAAAAAAAAAAAAAAAAAATAGCCGGGCGTGGTGGCAGGCGCCTGTAGTCCCAGCTACTCGGGAGGCTGAGGCAGGAGAATGGCGTGAACCCAGGAGGTGGAGCTTGCAGTGAGCCGAGATCCTGCCACTGCACTGCAGCG